ACTACATGTTCTACTTTACGGCAATGGAGGAAGAGAGAGAAATTCTTCGTCAAAAGACCGGCTATAATAGCAATTCGCCTTATGTTTTAATGGCAAAAGTCGTAAAATTCAGACCCTTTGCATTCGCTTTTTATAAATACTGGAAACCAGCTCAATCAAAATATTTAGCACATACACCGGATCCAACTCGATAATTGGTCGAGGTCAATACCCAATATTTGTATATAACTATGATGCTAATTTGTTATTTATTTATTTTGTCCTACCGGGAGAATCCTGTATGGCACGTGTGCCCAATAAAGGCTATTGTTGTTGTTGTTTGTTGTATATGCAATATATATTCATCGTCGCCTTTACAATTTTACTAAATAAATAAGCATTGGTGAGTGGTTAAAAGAGACATGGCGCTGGATTGCTTATTAATTTAGTTAAAATGTTTATATGATTCACAATTTATGAAATATATTGATAGTAACAATTATTATTAGGGAATATATAAAGTGGGTATTTTATAAACGTTTACACTTAATCATTATAATTTCATTATTTTTTAATTGTATATTTGTGAAAAAAGCAAATTTAGAGCCAATTTTGAAGAGCTTTAATTATTTTGTTTCATTTTCAAAAGAGAGAGAGAGATTGAGATTGAAACTTCTTAATTACATCGTTCATATATAATCTTAAATACGAAATAAATATAAATAAATAATATTATATAATGATAAATATGTAAATAAATAGATAATAATATAAAATGAAAGGATTTTTTTTTATAAAAGCACGAATGTTTCTTTTATACACAATACAAACTTCTACTGCCCTTACTGCGATGAAAAAAATATATTCATCGCAGTAAGGACAGTAGAAGTTTGTATTATGTATAAAAGAAACATTCGTGCTTTTAAATCCTTTCATTTTATATGTATAGATGGCGCGCTATTGCTTTGTGTTAAATAGATAATAATATATAAAATAATTGATAAATATACATAAATATATAAAATATATACAAGGTCTTCATTGGTGGCGTCCACCGCGGGAAAGACTCCGCCACCGGTGGACTGCGAGAGTTCTCTCCCATAGAGTGGGCAGGTCGATGTGTTGGCTGGCATTACCCAACTCGAGACCAAGATGGTGAAGAGAGAGAGAAAAAGTGACAAACTTCTACAGCCACTAAACAACAGATGTAAAATTTCGGAACTACTAAGCTCAGTAGTGAACTCTCAGCAGTTTGGACAATTTGATCAACCATATTATCACAACTATTTTTTTTGAACATGTTTTATAAAATATAAGCTATTTCTGCACAAATGTCTATTTTTATAAGCAAAGCAACGTTCTACTGTACTCAATGCAATGGAAATAATTGGGAGACGGTTCTTATTTTATTTCTTTATTTTACACAATAACAACTCGCATTTAATTGTCTGTTTCGTTAATATCATATGCATTTTCCTGCATAGTTGGAAAAATAAAGGTGTCAGATTTATTGCTATTTTAATCATTCATTTAGTAGTTATGGAAATTTGTCTTTTGAAAGTTTTATCAACCTAAACTCATGGACGAAAATTTAAAAAATGGTAAGTCGTTGATGTTTTTGACAAATTTGTTCACACTTGGTTATCTCGTGTGTCTTCAACAAAGGTTACTGCGTTTCAGAGGTATTGCCTTATTCCCGATATAACAGATAAAATAGATAATTCAACAAAAAATAAGAAAAGATTAAATATGTGAAATAAACTCTGAGAAAAGAACTACAAAAACTATAACAAGACTCAGAAAGAAACACTATAAAAGAATGACAATACATCCAGATGGCACAAGAACCTACAGGACAATTAACAACTGTCCTGGTGTGGAACTAACACCTACCCACATATTCTCTTGTCCAGCAATGTCCGCAGCCTTGCAGAAAGTTGACATGGACCCAGATCAGCAGCTTTACACACCAAAGATAGTGAACATTGCGAATGCTGTGATAGAGATGTATGGAGACATCTGATGATCTTCATTGGACACGGCAACTACAACCAGAAAAAAAGGTACAACTTCCTTCGGTTTTGTGCATGTGTGTATTTAGAATTGATAATATATATAAATATACATTTTCATAAAAATATAGTATTATGTTTCATGAGTAGAAAGTGCAAACAATTTGCATGTTATTACAATTAAATTTTAAAAGTTGGTTGAAATTGTGAAAAAAACTTTATAAAAATATAATATGAATATTAATTATTATATTTATTATTATTTTATCTTATACAGTTAAACCTGTCTATAGCGCCCCCCTCTAAATAGCGCCTTTCTCTCTATACCGCCCGATTTTAAACATTAAAATGTAAACATTTTACATTAAAAGTGACCTGTCTATAGCACTCCCTCTCTATAGCACCTTATTTTGGTAAGTCCCAAGAGCGGGCGCTATAGACAGGTTTAACTGTATATATTTATTATAGATGGAAATTTTTCCGTGAGGAAATTGATCTAAAGAGACAAGGGTCGCCTCTCCCGTCAAAATAGACGTCTAAAACCAGACGCCATCTATTGACCGTCGCCGCAAACTTGGCAGATTGTCAAGATTCCATCAGATCCCGTGTGGATCTCATGGAATAAAGTCCGCCCTAGACTGACGAGGGCCATTAGCCCGAAACCATGGTCTCTAGGTGGACGCTTTATAGTTTGCCAAAGCTGGTGTTGTGGCTTTGTCACCTACCCGAGGCCGCTAGTTGCGGCGACGGTCAATAGATGGCGTCTGGTTTTAGACGCCTATTTTGACGGGAGAGGCGACCCTTGTCTCCTTAGATATATTTATTATAGAATAAATATGAGAATAAGCGATCGGTGTTTCTGATGAATATTTATTTATTTATCATAGTTAGCGCGAGATTAATAATTTACTTTGTTAGTTAGCGATGGATGTATGTGTCACGATAATTGATGTTTACAAGTAAATAATGAGGAAAATTATTAGACATTTATTAATAACATGAGAGTTTTGCTTGTTGTATTAAAATTCAAACAGAAATTTATATTTATCGTCACCAAGATTTTGATTATTTAAGAGCATATTTGCCCTGTCATAATTGATATTAACAAGATGTGTGTCAAGGGAGTTATAAATGAATTAAATTTCGATCAAATAAATCTTTAATGGATATCTCAGATTATTTATTAAAATAAATATAGGGCATTGAAGAATTCGAAACTATTATAGACGCGTATGATTCTTTTTTTAATAAACAATTTCTACTGCCCTTACTGCAATGGAAATTGTTTATTTAAAAAAATAATCATACGCGTCTATAATAGTTTAATTTTGATATCAGATGAGGCGCTAGTGCATCATATTATAATTGGAGAATTACCTTTTTCATTGAAAAAAGGAGACTGTAAGTGACAGTATCACTTGGTGCACAACTAAGTTGTCAGTTTCACACGTAGATGGCGCTAACTAAAATGTAGTTGCCATTGTTCTCTAACGTTGGTATGTTGTTAAACCTTGGATACATATCAACAATTATCATTCACAATTGCGCAACGGAGAAATGTTTTTTTTCAACAATAAGATGTTAAGAGTTTTGTACCAAATAAACAGAATTTGGGAGAAACTATGCTTTTCTTCTTCAACTTTAAAAATAAAAAATACATATGAATCACGTGGTTGCTTTGAAGAGGTCTACTGCAAACATACACTATCGAAAAATATCTGTAAAATAGTTTGAATGCTTCAGAAGTGGCTATTTCAATAATGAGGACTCTCTCTCTCTCTAAGAGCTCTCCGGAAGACCAAAAAACAATTGAGGAATTCGATCTGCAAGCGTTATTTCATGAAGATAATATACAAACACAAAATCAACTTGCGAAGGCATTGAATATGACTCGCCAAGGTATTGTCAACCGTTTATATTCTACGGGATAAAATATTTATAATAGGCGCTGATTGAGAATCGAAATCGAAGAGTAACTTCTTAAATTTTGTTTTTGCGACATGAAAGAAATAGTTTTCTATATCGAATTACTATATCGATAAGAAGTAGGCATATTAAAAGAATATCAAACGCTCAAATTTTGTCTTTCACCTTATGAATACTCATTGAGTGCAAGGCCAAATTCCTTCGGAAAGAAAAACTCTATTATGCATTTAGTGTTATCAGAAAGGAATCATGTAATACAAGCTTATGAAATAGAGCGAAAGTGTCAATGAGCATATTTATCAATGAAAACACTTATCAATTTGAACCTTGTATCGTTTTAAGAACATACAAAATGATGAACGAGACTTGAAAGTGTGGTACTTTAACACAATAATACTCCGTGCCATTGCACTCAATCGTTCATAACACTATTAAAACACTGAATTGGGATGTTACCACGTCCACATCGATGTTGATGATTTTTATAGGGTTTAAATAATTCTTATCTCATCACTAATGCTACTATTAGAGGAATAATAATTATACATAATTATATATATAACAAAATGGCATATCCTGACTAACTCACATGAACTTTTTAGATGGCAGAGCCCCATCTAGTAGAACAGAAATCAACTAAACGTTGGTTTAATCTGTTCCTTGATATTTGACCAGCCTATTTTCTTGATGAATCAAGAAAAGCTAACAATGAACGCCTTTCAGGCTGTTGGGCTTCGTTAGTCTGGTGCAGACTGTACCTCTACGACCAAAGATATTTTAGTTCCAGAAGTTTTTGAGAAGGTTAAATAAACGTTTGATTGATTTCTGTTCCGATAAATGATTATCTGCCATATAAAAATCTAATGTGAGCGGTCAGGATATGCCTATTTTGTTTTTAAAATCAACACCTGACCTTATTTCTGTTAAAAATCCTTTTTTTTTACATAATTATATATAATTATAATACAATATAATACACTGCGGCCTGTGATTGCAAAACGACACTTGAAGTTACACCGCATGAGTTTCTTTTCAACGAAAGGGTGAATTATGAAGAGTAATGATGAACGTAAAGATAAAAGTGTCCAGGGATGGGAATCGAACCCACAATGTTCCGCTTACCGGGCAGATGCCATGACCACTAGGCTACCCTGGACGATTTTTCCGTTCGTAAATAATACATAAAGTAACTTATAATACAATATAATGCACTGCGGCCTGTGATTGTAAAACGACACTTGAATTCACCCTTTCATACCTCATCCAAAAAGGTTAGAAATAGTCAATATTTCACCTTGAAATAAATTTTGATTTTTCGTTGAAAAGAAATTCATGCGGTGTAACTTCAAGTGTCGTTTTATACGAGTATATAATTATGTTCACACAATATCCACTCGGGTAGAACTCGGATGAGGTCGAGTCATTCAGCCAATTTAAAATAAAATATTAAAAACAACTCTGTGTACATTTTAAAAATACCTTTATATATCGTATCAATTTATATTGAGCAATATATCAAAAATCATTAACTAAAATGAAGATAAATGATAAGTCATACCAAAATATTCGATTACAGATATATCTATTGGGAATACAATAAATTCTCTACAATTGTAGTCCATAGTCAATTTTAAAATTTGTTCACAGAGAGAGTGAGGAGAACGTGAGCTGCCAATGAAAATAGGTAGAAATCAATTTTACTGAAAAGCAAATCTCTTGGGAACAAGGCGTCTATTACAGTTGTTCATGTAAGAATTGAATTTGCATTTTGACTTGAAATTGTGATCTGCTCAATATTATTTATCTGAAATTCTTCCCTTTTCCATCTCCACATGCCATTTGTTACAATTATTCTGATAGATGTAAGCTCTATTTCTTATTGGAATAGTAAAAGGATATATTTCCTTTTTTATTCATTCTAATAGTAAAATTTCTTCTAATTTAATATGTTATTCGTGTCGAATTAATGGTTGTCTATATTATTCTGGAAGGATATTGAAATGATCTTTGTAATCTAATATTTATTATATACTAAAATTAGAATAAATATATATCTAGAAGCTATTTTCTTTTAATATTTCAAATTGAAATTCAAATTGAATATCAAAATGTAAAAAATGACAAAAAAAGAATACATATTGACTGCAGAAAATAAAATATTTTTTTGGATCGTCTTATTATTTAATTTAATTATGAGATATTGAGAAAAACGTTTATATATTTTATGATTGATTCTAATTTTTATAAATCCATATATAAAATGTATAAAGTAAATAAAAAGAATTACAAAACTATTTTAGAGGCGTAATATTCTTTTTAAAATAAAACAATTTCTACTGTCCTTACTGCAATGGAAAATTTAAAGGGAGGGCCTGGCTCATCAGTGGTGAACCCTCCCAGCGGTTTCGCCAGTTTACCGGGAGGGTTCACCACTGATGAGCCAGGCCCTCCCTTTAATTTTTCCATTGCAGTAAAGACAGTAGAAATTGTTTTATTTTAAAAAGAATATTACGCCTCTAAAATAGTTTTGTAATTTGATAACAGATGGCGCGCTAGTGCATTGTAAATAAAAAGAGGTACAAAAAAGGTAAAATCTCACAAATATAAAATAAACAAATAAAAAATGCAATGACTATATATTTTTTAGATAATTCTATATAAAAATCACGTTCTCTCTCTCTCCGCAAAAAAATTCTATAATATTTTTAATTATCCTAGTATACACGTGGTACCTACAGGCTAAGATAATCATGGTTAATAGTTAGCAACTGATTTTTGCACTTACAAATGTACGATACTTTGACTAAATGGTGGAACCAGTAGAGAATGCTTAGTGTGAAAGTCAAACAACTCCCAATATATCTAGATTTCTTAACCTGCCAAAGGTTGGCAGTTATTCTCAGAGCTTTCTTTCAATGGCTAAGTATTTTGATAATGTAGGGCTTTTCCCGAGAACATGTCCCTCCAGCCCTACTCAGGCCGAAGTGTCTTTTATTTGAAGAACTATGAATGCCGGCCAGGCAGCCTCTATCTTCACGATTGTATATTATCATTACTTTTCATTTATTTAAAATGTATTATTGACTAGATGTCAATAAAAGTGTTTCAATTGTCTACAAATGCCTACGTGTTGGAATATGATGCTTTATAATGATAAAAAGGTATATATCGGATGTAAAAACATTTATTAGTACAATATAGTCCAATACTAGCATTACCTAAAAGCCCATTCCCTGTAATTATCCAGAATAAGACGTTGGGCAAGTAAAGTTGGAATAAAATCTTACATGTCTATTGACCAGATTTCAATAAAAGTGTTTCAATTGGCTACAAGTGCCTAAGCGATGGAATATGATGCTTCATGATGATAAAAAGGCATATATTCGATGTAAAAAGTATTTATTAGTTCAATATAGTCCAATACTGGTATTACCTAACAGCTCATTCCCTGCAATTATCCAGAATAAGACGTTGGGCAGGGAAAGTTGGAATAAAATCTTACATATCTATTGACTAGATGTCAATAAAAGTGTTTCAATTGTCTACAAATGCCTACGTGTTGGAATATGATGCTTTATAATGATAAAAAGGTATATATCGGATGTAAAAACATTTATTAGTACAATATAGTCCAATACTAGCATTACCTAACAGCACATCCCTTGTAATTATCCAGAATAAGACGTTGGACAAGGAAGGTTGGAATAAAATCTTACATGTCTATTGACTAGATTTCAATAAAAGTGTTTCAATTGTCTACAAATGCCTACGCGATGAAATATGATGTTTTATAATGATAAAAAGGTATATATCGGATGTGAAAAGTATTTATTAGTTCAATATAGTCCAATACTGGTATTACCTAACAGCTCATTCCCTGCAATTATCCAGAATAAGACGTTGGGCAGGTGAAGTTGGAATAAAATCTTACATATCTTTTGACTAGATCTCAATAAAAGTGTTTCAATTGTCTACAAATGCCTACGCGATGGAATATGATGCTTTATGATGATAAAAAGGCATATATTCGATGTAAAAAGTATTTATTAGTTCAATATAGTCCAATACTGGTATTACCTAACAGCTCATTCCCTGCAATTATCCAGAATAAGACATTGGAGAGACAAGGAAAGTTGTAATAAAATCTTACATGTCAACCAGTTCTCAAGAGAATTGTATAATTGTAGACATACTTTCTTCATATTACACTTATTAGTAAAATGAATCAAATGATAATAATGACGATAATCAAACAGAAATATTGCTCTTTTATAAAATATTATAGATATTCAATTCGGATAATATGATTTTTGAATATTTATACTGTAAGAGACTTTGAGTCAAAAGGCGTTCTATTAAATAAGTTTATATAAAAAGGGGCGTACCTGGATCTGTAAAAGAAAAAAAAAGAACATTTTTTTCAAAATATTTCGAGGCATTTCTCCCTATCTCTTTAACAATTTAATACAAAGTAAACTTACTTTACAAATACTTGTAGATCACATGAAAAATAACTTTGTCAAAAAATTGTCTTTTTTAAATTATAAATCCAGGTACGATCTTTTTAATATAAATGTATAAGACGTTTTTTTATTATTTCAAGCAAGGGAATATAATGTGTTATATCAATGATATATGCGAATTAACTTATCGAAACAAAATATTAAATGTTCTTATGCGATTTTTTTCTATTTCTAAGAAAATAAAACGGAACATTGTGGGTTCGATTCCCATCCCTGGACATTTTTATTTTTCCGTTCATTATTACTCTTCATAATTCACTCTTTCATGCCTCATCCAAAAAGGTTAGAAATAGTCAATATTTCACCTCGAAATAAATTTTGATTTTTCATTGAAAATAAACTCATGCGGTGTAACTTCAAGTGTTGTTTTACAAGAAAATAAAGTGTTGATAGAAGTTGTATTAACCTCTATTGAATACAGATCTGTGTGTATACAAGATAAATAGTTTATAAACAATTATGATTTGAAATGTCGATACTATATTTTGAAAGGATTTAAATGCTTATATAATGAGTTATATATGATAAATTATAATTTAATATAGACTATATCTTTCTCCGGTTCCTCTCTCTTTATTTAACCTAAAATTTAGTTAAAATTTTAATGATGAACGTTGGATTTATTCTAATTAAGAAGTCGTTACCTCAAAATTAATTCTAGATGAGATTCAAATATTTTGAATTTTTTAAATTAATTTTTGGTGAATTCAAAAATCTTTATTTTGTAGATTATCTCATGAGAGATATATTGAGGTATAATTGTGCGTAATATAAAAATACAGTTTATATTTTTTACATTAATTTAGTAGTTATAATTCTAACAATATATTAAACGTTTTTGATAAAATGTTTGTAAATAAACTTCATTTCTTGTATAATTATTGCTCTAAAATGTAAATTTAAATAACTTTACTCTCTCTTTGAAACTAGAAATAATTTGTATATATGTTTAAATTACAATATAATGCGGCTTATGATTGTAGAACGACATTTGAAAATTATCCCGCTTATGTTTATTTTGAACGAAAAATCGAAATTTTTTTTTTTAAGGAAAAATAACGATTATTTCTAACCTTAGGGATTAAGTATGAAAGGATGAATTGTGAAGAGTAATGATAAACGGAAAAAAATATATTGTATTGTATATATTGTCGCGGAGATAAATAAAGCAAGGGCAAATTTGGAAATAATTAATATATATTATAAGGGGTATTTATAGGGAGAGAGAGAAAGCACAACTTACCCCAAGTTAAAGATAATCCTAATGAACGGCGTCAGCCACCGTCCCGTTTTTCTTATTTACAGATCAGCTTCCGAGAACCCCTCACACCTGTGGTCCCCCCCCCGGGGTCCAGGGATGATTGACAGTGTCCCATCTGGATGGAGCTACTTGACAATATATATATTTTAAAACTATGTACATAAAAAAGTTTAAACATTTACAAGCAAATATCCACATAGGATATAGCGTGTGTTTTCTAATAATTCAATAGAAAAATAAATAAAAATACAGTCACTCTCCATTCAGTGAATAAATATTTCAATAGAATAATGCATTGTATCAATATTAGAGTGAAACCATCAGGTTTCCAGGGTTAATTTCTCAGATTTATATCTCTAGAATTCGGGTATG